CAAGGAGTGAAAATGCTGTTGCAGAAGCATGAAACTCAACATTCTTCATGTCAAATGCCTAGTGGTGACTCTCATGTGGTTTGGCCTAAATAAAATATATGCATGAACCATGTAATACATCAGTAATATACAAGAAATATCGTGTGCATTATTCATATGACTGGTGCCTAAATATGTACGCTCAATAGCATAACTACTAGTGACACAGTATTTGAAATTAGCTTATGTGTCTTGTGGGACCACACAACCCCATGGTAGCCATTAGAATGTTTTATGATGCAGTTTTATTTGTTATGTGGCAGAAAACTGCAGCAAGTTGTGGATATTAAAACTCAGTTATTTTAGCCATAAAGGGGCCACTTTGCATTCACAAGACACAAATCAAGTGGACCACAAAATAAACCATGGTGGTCCTAGTAAGGTTCTCTTGTGGCTCATTTTATAGGGGTCTGGGTCATTTGTGGTGTTTACCTACAGTATGCTAAGTCAAAAATGCTAAGTCATCAACCTGAGATGACTTGGATCGTAAAAACAGACCATGTGTTGAAACACTTCTAGGGTCTCAAAAGATTCAAGATCTCTACATATCCCCTACGTACCTGAAACTGTAAAAGTGTGAAATTGTTTTTCGCTCTTGGAGCTGGTGTGAAGCAGATTATGTATGTAAAGCACTTGGGCACAGGGATTATGTTCTCCTGTGATATGTAGCGACATTTCATAATCAAGAAGATAGAGCCAGAATTGTCAAATTTCTTTATATGTTATAAAAGTACCAGTTATTTTGCATAACAAAGTTTTCCTTGTGAGGTTTATTCAATTCCAGAGCTTTCTTGACCATTGTCATCAAGTGGGTGTGCTTGTACGACTGATTATGTCTTGTTGTATGAATCCACCAAAATTCAAAGATGGAAAGATAGTTGTTTGCTTTCACAAGATGTTTGACATAAATGTAACTTGAAGCAGCAGAACAATATTTGTTCTATTATTTGTCTATTTGAGTTAGAATTCAATATAATTGGTTACACAATATTTTAAGCAATATCCCTAGCTAACACAAGCTATATAATATGTTATATTACAAGATACTACATATGTGATAAATGCTTTTCAAATCAAACTTTCAACAACTCACAAGTGTCAATATGAAGTGTATCATAATAAATAGCACTTTCACAACATTTAGGGCATTTTCACACCTGGCTCCTTGGTTCGGTTCATTTAGACATACATGAAAACAGCAATCACGCTTGGATCTGCATCAAATTAAGCACTGAGATGGTGTGGGCCCGATTTCAAATGAACTCTGGAGCGGTTCACTTGTGGTGAGGAAGCAATCCGAACCAAAAGACCAATGAACCAACTTGTATATATGCAATATATGATGGGAACTGCTAATGGCTCGCAGCATGTACTTTAACTTGTACCAAAGACATTTGAAATTTGGTTTGAAGAACACATTTCTGAACACCTTTCAAAAACGCATAAAAACAAGGTTTTTAAGGTGTTTAGTGAACGTCTCAAGGAGATGGGCTTTGATAGCACCGTTGAACATGTAAATTAGATAAATTATAATAACTGCAGCTAAAAAAGAAAGCCACAATAAGCTCACGGAGCTGTTGTCTATCCATCTTGATGGATGATCGCTATGCGTGGATCATTGAACATAAACAGATGCATTCTGACCAGTGAGATGACATTTTACTCACATGTGACTTCCAACACATTTTGGTACACTTTGAAATATTGCCGTGTGAAAGTGAACCAAACCAAGGAGAAAATACAACACTGTAACAATTTAAGTACCCATTTCGGAACAAAGCACAGATCTACAGGTCTGAAAATGCCCTTAGGTTCATGAATGAAAAGGAGTGTGTCTCTAGTTGTAGTAGGGCTATAAGTTACTTATGGAGTGTTGTAATTATAGGTCCAGACTGCACTGTATAGCATGAATATTGCATTTTGTAGTATTTTATAGTATTTCTAGGTTACAAGCACCAGTGCAACACATGTAATAAAAAGAAAAAAGGAGCAAAGAAAATTTGATAATTGTGTAAAACACTATGCTGATTAATATGCGAGTGTGCTCCATGCAGTGCTGATGTGAAACTGAAGCAGTACATTTACTGTGTCTGGTGTAAAATGGCTTTTAGTAGTTAACTCACCCTATGAACATTGATTCTGCAGTCTTGTTCCAACACAAGTTGCCTGTTAATTGCTATAAAAGTATTTTAGTTTGTTTGAAGATTAGCAGTTTGGAGCATATAGAGAAACAAAAGATATATAACAGATTTATTCTGTGTTACTACATAAACCTAAGATACAGATTTTACATTATATTACAGCATTTGGAAGACGCCTTTATCCAGAGCGACTTACAATTATCTCTTTCATACACACTGAGCAGTTGCTCAAGGGCCCAACAGTGGCAGATTGGCAGTGCTGGGATTTGAACTCACAAGTCCAACGTCTTAACTGCTGAGCTACCACTCACCATTTTACATGGCAACCAGCAGTAAATCTGTTGTATTTTTTATTTTTTTTTCACAAGGATAATGTGTAGGCATCTGACTGAAATGAGGGTGTGGATACAGGGTTAGCAGTGTACTGATGGCCTTTCATGGACAATGTGAAAATGAGTGAGCTAAAATAAAATAAAAAATAAAAGATGACATATATGAATACTTTTTAAAATAATAATGTGCATACTGTAGTAATTTTCATCTTTCCTTTTATGTTTTTACAAAATTATTTGCATAATTTTGAGTTTGGGAGCATGTATTTAAAGCATGCATTAATAACATGCATAAGCAGTGAGTTGATTATCTAAAGCAGCGGTCCCCAACCCCCGGTCCGCGGACCGGTACCGGTCCATGGGTCATTTGGTACCGGGCCGCACAGAAAGAATAAATAACTTACATTATTTCCGTTTTATTTATTATCTGGATCTGAAAAATGACCGGATTCTCTACGTTACATCCTTCTACGACTCACACTTGACGCATGTCAAGATGCTTGTCTCGGTCACGTGATACGTTGAAACCTTACCATAGAGACCAGAGAGCGTTAGGGGGGAGAGAGGATGTTAGGAAGTTGCGATTTCACGTTGGAGGCACATTTATTATTATATTTTTAAAATACCCCAGTTTTTATGCCAGTCCTATCATTTTATTTTGTTGTATTTATCCACCGCACCTTAAAGGCCGGTCTGTGAAAATATTGTCTGATATTAAACCGGTCCATGGTGCAAAAAAGGTTGGGGACCGCTGATCTAAAGAACAATGCAGTGCAGCAACAGAAATCCATGAATATACATTATTCAGTGCTTATGAAGACTTGCTTTCATTTCTACTGATGAGTGTTTACTTTATAAATCTGACTTAACCCACTAACCCCGTAAGGCCGAAAAACCGGCTTGCCCGGCTTTGATCTATTCCCATAAGGACGATATACTGGCTTGGTCTTCTATGCCAAATACCCGTAAGGCCGATATAGTGGCTTTACCGTGTAAACGATGTCCCCGGAAGGCTGGTATACCGGCCTTACGGGTATATACATTACTCTGCTATGAATATGCAGAATATTCTTATGCATTATTCTAGAAATATGTATTTTAATGCTTATTCATGTCATTATCAACACAGGCTTCACACAAAGTGCTACTGAAATCACTGTAGAATATAATTGCCAAAGGTGCTAATGTGCGATTCATGGGGAACAGATGTAAAACAGATGCACTAATGCACAATAATGCATGCACACAAGCACAGACTAACTCTCTACTGACTGTAGTGCTCTTCGCTGAAGTGATTATGTGACCATGTCTCATTTTATACTAACGTCCCTAAGGTAATCGCTACATGTTAGAGGGTTGTTGAGCAGTGATTAATGAGGAAGGGAACAAAAGGAAACAAAGGCACTTGGATTTGTTCATAAGTGTAAAAGTACAAAACAAACGTTGCTGTTAAGAGGTGGAAAAACTCTGATTTGTTGCTGGAAATAGAGAAAAGTCCCCACCGCACAGTGTACGTAATCACATCTCAGTCTAATTACACTGGCTGCTAGCTCTCGTTGTATTACAGGAGGAGTCAGCCTAATTAAATGAGTGCTTGTCCCCACATTAAATGGAAGCATGTTGTCTAAATGGAAATTCACTCCTTACGCAGGGGGGAAATACAGGGAAAGTAGACAATTAGGAATTTTCCTTGTCTGTAATCATTATTAATGTCAAACACCAACATTTGTAATTCGCTTAAAAGACATCATCCATCATCATCTCTTACACAGATGCAGAAACAATGGCTTGTAAAGTCTTAATTTCATCTCTATATTTGCTATGTGATGCCTCCAACTAAACGTAATTTAAAATTTCAGATTGGTCAAATATTAAATGTAATCAATGTTCCCATTACCACAAATCATTTAGCGTGGTACAAACTATCTCCTAAATCATAATACACTTGTCACAAAGCACTTTATCCAGTTAATAATATCTAAAGCAGACTTGCTTCTGTGGTTTCTGTATAACACTGTTATCTATAAAATAGTAGTGAAAAAAGGTTTTCTAGATAGAAGCATGAGGCCATTACAGTTTGAGGACAGAATTGTATGTTAGAAGTGGATGGGATGATAATGTTGCTTCACTTGTTAAATACAGACGTACAGTGCCCTCCAGAATTATTGACACCCTTCATGAAATTAAGCAAAAATAAATATAGAAAAAGAATAAGACTCGATAAATAATATTGTGGAGTCTAGTAGATCACTATGGAGAATTCATTGGTATTGTTTGCTGCCATGCACCGAGTTGAAAGTGGCCTGAATGGTCTCACTTATTCTTAGCTGGAGATTTACAATAATAATGAGCTTTTACTGGTCACATATACAGTAGAGCACAGAGAAATAGTTTTCTTTGCATACCCCAGCCTGTCAGGAAGCTTGGGTCAGATCATAGGCGCCCCTGGAGCAGAGAGGGTTAAGGGCCTTTCTTAAGGGCCAAACAGTGGCAGTGCTGGGTTTTGAACCTCCAACCTTCTGATCAATAACCCAAAGCCTTAACCGCTAAGCCACCACTGCCCCCATTTGTGGATTGTGCAGTGTTGGCCTGCACAATTATTGGGCAAACTATTCCACTGAGCAAGTCATTTAACTGGAAAGAAAATGGAAATTTCAACTGTAGTGATGACAGACAGGGACATTTAAAGAGTAGCCTGCTGCCTCAAATGGTTCTCCCTGGTTCAGACAGAAACAGGTTACAATCCTGTGCCTCACAGACCTGTGTACCTAAGACCTGTTCAGGACTAGCAGTAGTTAGCACTGTGTGATACACCAGACTTCACCGAGAGATCTTTATGTACAGTGCCTTGCGAAAGTATTCGGTCCCCTTGAACTTTTCAACCTTTTGCGACATTTCAGGCTTCAAACTTAAAGATATAAAATTGTAATTTTTTTGAAGAATCACCAACAAGTGGGACACAATCGTGAAGTGGAACAAAATCTATTGGATATTTTAAACTTTTTTAGCAAATAAAAAACTGAAAAGTGGTGCGTGCAAAATTATTCGGCTCCTTTATTTCAGTGCAGCAAACTCACTCCAGAAGTTCATCGAGGATCTCTGAATGATCCAATGTTGTCCTAAATGACTGATGGTGATAAATAGAATCCACCTGTGTGTAATCAAGTCTCTGTATAAATGCACCTGCTCTGTGATAGTCTCAGGGTTCTGTTGAAAGCGCAGAGAGCATCATGAAGACCAAGGAACACACCAGGCAGGTCCGTAATACTGTTGTGGAGAAGTTTAAAGCCGGATTTGGATATAAAAAGATTTCCCAAGCTTTAAACATCCCAAGGAGCACAGTGCAAGCGATCATTTTGAAATGGAAGGAGTATCAGACCACTGCAAATCTACCAAGACCTGGCAAGAGTGGAAGAGTGGCAAGAAGAAAGCCATTTCTCAACGTTTGGTGTGACGTTTGGTGTGTCTCCCAGGTGGCTTGTGGCAAACTTTAGACGAGACTTTTTATGGATATCTTTGAGAAATGGCTTTCTTCTTGCCACTCTTCCATAAAGGCCAGATTTGTGCAGTGTACGACTGATTGTTGTCCTATGGACAGACTCTCCCACCTCAGCTGTAGTTCTCTGCAGTTCATCCAGAGTGATCATGTGCCTCTTGGCTGCATCACTGATCAGTCTTCTCCTTGTCTGAGCTGAAAGTTTACAGGCACAGCCAGGTCTTGGTAGATTTGCAGTGGTCCTTCCATTTCAAAATGATCGCTTGCACAGTGCTCCTTGGGATGTTTAAAGCTTGGGAAATCTTTTTGTATCCAAATCCGGCTTTAAACTTCTCCACAACAGTATTACGGACCTGCCTGGTATGTTCCTTGGTCTTCATGATGCTCTCTGCGCTTTCAACAGAACCCTGAGTCTATCACAGAGCAGGTGCATTTATACAGAGACTTGATTACACACAGGTGGATTCTATTTATCACCATCAGTCATTTAGGACAACATTGGATCATTCAGAGATCCTCGCTGAACTTCTGGAGTGAGTTTGCTGCACTGAAAGTAAAGGAGCCGAATAATTTTGCACGCACCACTTTTCAGTTTTTTATTTGCTATAAAAATGTATAAAAAATCCAATAGATTTCATTCCACTTCACAATTGTGTCCCACTTGTTGGTGATTCTTCACAAAAAAATAAAATTTTATATCTTTATGTTTGAAGCCTGAAATGTGGCAAAAGGTTGAAAAGTTCAAGGGGGCCGAATACTTTCGCAAGGCACTGTATATAGATTTAAATGCAACAAGTCAAGTCAAGTGGCTTTATTGTCATTTCAACCATATACAGTGAATTGAAAACAATGTTTCTCCAGAACCATGGGCTACATAAAACAACACACTATCTACATTAGATGATACAGAGCTAAAAAAAGACCTACTCATTTCTACATAAAGTGCATGTGCAAATGTCTGCAAACAGCACAACACAAGACAGTACAGAAAGTACTAAAACAGGATGATGAGCACAGAAAGTGACAGTGTAGCATTGACCAGCACTCAGTTCTAGTGTGGAAGTATCAAATTATAATATAATAAAAATTCTATGAATGTAAACAAAACATATTATAAAATAGTTTTCAGCAGATATAATATATAATATACTTATAATATATATTATACTATATATGGACATATCACTTATTGTGGAAGCAGCCAGGTAAAGTGTAATAGTGACAAGAAATTAAATAATTTTTTTTAGAAATACAATGTTCAGTTGGTGTGTGTGTGTGTGTGTGTGTGTGTCGTGCGTCTGTGTGTCTGTGTGTTTATTGTAGTATTGAGGAGTCTGATGGCTTGGGGGAAGAAACTGTTATACAGTCTGGCCATGAGGGCCTGACTTTTTCCAGATGGCAGTAGGGTGAAGAGTTTGTGTGAGTAGTGTGTGGGGTCATCCACAATGCTGGTGGCTTTGCAGCGTGTGGTGTAAATCTCTGTGATGAAGGAAGAGAGGCCCTGTGATATTTTCTGTCCTCACTATCCGCTGCGATATGGTGCAATTTCCAAACCAGGCAGTGATGTAGCTGCTCAATATGCGCTTAATAGTTCCTCTGTAGGGGTGTGAAATGGGCTTTTTTTTAGACTTCTCAGAAAGAAGAGGCGCTCCTGGCCTTTGGTTATGGTGTTGAGGGACCAGGTGAGGTTCTACAGCATGTAAACACTAAGGAATTTGGTGCTCTGGCACCAACCACCATGCCAAGGTTAAAGTCACTGATATCACATATTTCCCCATTCTGATGTTTGATGTGAACATTGACTGAAGCTCTTGATCTGTACCTTCATGATTTTATGGATTGCACTGCTGTCAATACAGTGAGGGAAAAACTACTTGATCCCCTGCTGATTTTGGACGTTTGCCCACTAACAAAGAAATGATCAGTCTATAATTTTAATGGTAGGTTTATTTGAACAATGAGAGACAGAATAACAACAAAAAAATCCAGAAGAATGCAGGTCAAAAATGTTATAAATTAATTTGCATTTTAATGAGGGAAATATGACTTATATGACTTAGTACTTGGTAATGACTTTTCATTTTCAATTCCCTGGCTGAGGGAAAGAGGTTCTCACCCAAGATTTGACGCTACATGGCCCCGTCCATCGTCCCTTTGATGCGGTGAAGTTATCCTGTCCCCTTAGCAGAAAAACACCCCCAAAGCATAATGTTTCCACCTCCATGTTTGACGGTGGGGATGGTGTTTGGATAATTACATGAATGAGCAGCGGTGCAGGTGTTCCTATTAAAGTGAGTGAGTGAATATCTAGCATTGCTAGCTGACTCATTGTTGGGTTTTTAATGTGCAGAGATGAAACAGGATGACAATTCCATCTTTGCACAGACTTAATTAGACCTCAGACAGTGTGAATGCTTGGGGAATGGAATCTTTGGCTTTCATCTCCCTCTACTTTTTTAGAAGGAATAGAGAGGTGCTGCTGATTTGTTCGCCTTATTAATTATAGTAGAGGTGAAGGGGTAGTTTCAGCAGTTTGAGAACCAAATCGGTTTTGCTTGTTCAGGATCTGGTTGAATAATGCACACACTGTAAAAGCCAATTAGCCTAGTTTACTCGAGCGGTTTAGGGAACATGATTGCCTTGACATGACTCGGATTGGTCTGAATCATGCATGCTCTTTTTATAAAGTAATTCAGTTTTTCACCGTCAAGTCACAATTTCCTGTTTAGGCTTCACTTATAAAAATGTGGCTCTCAAAAAATAATCACGTATCTTAGGTACTTTGGACATGTCATGCTACCTTTCTCTTTTTCTTCTCTTTTTGTCTGCTTCTTCACTGTCTGTCTCATTTTATCTCCCTCTCTATCATCTTTAATGCTCTCACTAATTTTGTGCCGCATACCTAGTCTTTCTGTATCCTGCTCCCTCGGTTGAATTCCCTTCATCTCCTCTCCTCCATCGTCTGTCTCTATCATCCTAAATTTCCATCTTCTGCTCTCAGTTTCAATTTCAGCATTTGTCAGGTTCATATATGGAAATATAGAGAGCAGCTCTAAGTGGGCATGTCTTGATGTCCATTCATCAGAATGTATGCATGCATTTGAGACACATACCTGTCCCATGCAAAAGTGCACCCACCTAGATGTGATACGTTCTGTACTAACTGGAGCTTGTTTATGCATCTACTGGAACATCCAGACAGTAAGGCATTACAATAATCCAACCTAGAGGTAACGAAAGCATGAACTAGTTTTTTTGTATCATGCTGACATTATATTTCTTATTTTAACAATATTTCTGAGATAAATGAAGTCTGTCCTGGTAATGTTATCTACACGAGCTTCAAATGAAATACTGGAGTCAGTAATCATACCAAGGCCTTTTACTGCTACACATGATGAAACAGAAAGGCCATCCAGAGTTACTATGCAATCAGATAGCTTACTTCTAGCTGCATGTGGTCCTAGCTCAAGTATGTCTTTCTTGTCATAATTAAGTAGAATTAAGTTAATAAGCATCCAACAAGTAATGTCCTACACACATTCCTAAACTTTATTAAGCTGGTGTCTCACATCTGCCTTTGCTGAAACATACAGCTGTGTGTCATCAGCATAACAGTGGAAACTAATACCATGTTTATGAATAATTTTTCCCAGAGGTAGCACACATAAATAGAAGAAAGCAGTCAGTCTAAAACAGAAGCTTGAGGAACAACAAAAGTTACCTTAGTATGTGTAAAGAAATCACCATCTATAAACTGATAGCGATCAGTCAAATAACACCTGAGCCAGGAGAGGGCCGTTCCCTCCAACAAGATTTTCTAGTCTATCAAGGAGAATAGTATGATCAGTGGTGTCAAAAGCTGCACTAAGGTCAAGCAACACAAGCAAGGAGACACAACCCTGATCAGAGGTCAGTAGTAGGTCATTTACCACTTTAACTAGTGCTGTCTCTATTCTATGATGAGGCCTAAATACTGACAGCATCCTGTTCATTAATGTTATTCCTATGTTGCTATGAGCATAACTCATGCTGGGATACAACCTTTTCTAGGATCTTGGAGATA